TCAGGCACACCTTAGTCCTCAAGCTGATATCTTTGGTCTTCAACACTTTCAAAAGGTCTTGTGCAGTAGATTTGCCTAATGCAATACATCGTTTCATTTCTTGACTGTTGCTTCTGTGAGTGTTGATAGTTGATCCAAGAAGAATGAAGTCCTTGACAGCTTCAATCTTTTCTCCATTGATAAGATTGTTGTTTATTGGTCCAGTGGTGAGGATTTTTGTTTTCTTTAAATGAGATATAATCCATACCGAAGACTGTGCTCTTTGATCTTCATCAGCCAATGTTTTAAGTCCTCTTCACTTTCAGCGATCAAGGATGATGTATCATCTGCATATCGCTGGTTGTTAATGAGTCTTTATCCAATCCTGATGCCCCATTTTTCTTCATATAACCTAGCTTCTTGGGTTATTTGCTCAGCATGCAGGTTGAATAAGTATGGTGAAAGAATACAACCTTGTTGCACATCTTTTTAAATTTTAAACCATTCAGTGTTCCCATGTTCTGTTCGAACAACTGCTTCTTGGTCTAGGTACAGATTCCTCATGAGCACAATTAAGAGTTCTGGAATGCTCATACTTCGCAATATTGTCCATAGCTTGACACGATCCACACTATCGAAAGCCTTTGCGTAGTCAATAAAGCATAGGTAAACATCTTTCTGATAGTCTCTGCTTTCAGCGAAGATCCATCAGACATTAGCAATGATATCCCTCATTCCACAGCCTCTTCTGAATCCGGCTTGAACATCTGCAAGTTCTCTGTCAATGTCTGATTGTAGCCATTTCTGTATCTCCTTTAGCAAAACTTTATGCACATGGGATATCAAAGAGATTGTCTGATGATTTCCACATTCCCTTGGGTCATCTCTCTTTGGAATAGGCACAAATATGGATCTCTTCCAATCAGTCAGCTAGATAGTTGTCTTCCAAATTTCTTGGCATTGATGAGTGAGTGCCTCCTGTGCTGCCTCACTTTCTTGAAAGATTTCAATTTTTATTCCATCAATTCCTGGTGCCTTGTTCTTTGCCAATTCCTTCAATTCACCTTGGTATCATTGGCTTTTGATCATATGCTACCTCTTGAAATGGCTGAACATTAACCATTTCCTTTTGGTACAGTGATTCTGTGTATTCCTTCCATCTTCTCTTGATGCTTTCTGCATCATTCAATAATTTGCCAAGAGAATCTTTCAATAACGAAAGTTGAGGCTTGAATTTTTTCTTCAGTTCCCCTAGCTTGAGAAATGCTGAATGTGTTCTTCCTTTTTGGTTATCTGATTCCAGATCTCTGCACATTTTGTTGTAATATTTGGCTTTATCTTCTCGAGCTATGAGTGATAGCTTCATACAATAAGCACTGGACTGTGAATCATAAGTTCGGGAGTTCAAATCCACCAGCTGCTCCACAGAGGAAAGATGAGACTTTCTGCCCCCGGCAAAGATTGAAAGGCTTGGCAGCCATACGGAAGGTCACTATGAGCTGGAATTGACTCGAAGGCACTTTAACAACAAGAACAACAACCATGTGCCAAAGGAGCCCTGGTGTTACAATGAGCTAAGTGTTTGTCTGCTAACTGCAAGGTCAGTGGTTCAAACCCATTAACTGCTCTGCAAGAAAGCTATGGCAGAAGGTGACAGCCTCAGACATGGTAAGGAACAGTTCTCCTCTTGCTGTTGGTAAGTGCTGGGAGTCGGTTCCGACTCATGGGGACCCTATAGAGTTTCTGAGGAGCAGCTGGTGGGGTTGACCCTTGCAGCTGAGATTGGCCTTTGGTGCAGTGCTTGCCCTATGGCACCAGACCAGGACTTCTCCCTGCAGGGTCTCTGTAAGCAGGAGGCAACTCATGGCAATGGGTTTGGTTTATGGGAAACCTGGGACAGGCATTATTTTGAACAGTTATGTGCACCTAACTAATGTTGTTGTTGTTACATACCGTTGGTTGACTCGTCCCAACTCAGAGCACCCTGGATAATGTTTCCAAGGAGCGGATGGTGAGTTTGAACTGCAGACCTTGAGGTTCAAACCGACCTTGCAGTCCAGTGATTTATCCCACAGTGCCAATCCTCTCAAAATACCTGTGAGGTGGGGCTCTTAATCTCCCTGTTTTACTAATGAGGAAATGAAAGCACAGAAGGGCTAGATGGTTTGTTGGCTGTTGCTCGTCTTGTAAGTGAAAGGACAAGAATGTGAACCCAGATATTCTGACATAAGAATCGGCTCTTTAAACAACAACAACAACAACAACAAAAAACCCAGACCATTTTGGGTAAAAGTACAGTAGAGCTTTTCAAGGAAACAGACCCAGTTAGCATCACACAGCACCTGAGGAAGCTCCTAAGGGTTCTTCAGTCTGTGTGAGGTCTTCAAGATCTCAGAATATGCCGCAACTCTGCCTCTGGCGTCCGCAGAGGAAAGCCTTGTTGTTGTTGTTGTTGTTA